TCTATCTATCTATCTATCTATCTATCTATCTATCTATCTATCTATCTGGGACTTTTTGTTTGTTTCTTTGTTTCTTTGTTTCTGGGTCTTCTTTTACTTTCAGAGACTCTGAAACACCTTTTAAACTTCTTTAAAATTTATTAAATTAATAATTTTATAGTCCCATATCTACAGAAGGGTTAGGGTATATCTGGTCAATCTGGTCAAAAAGCTTCTCCAGGCTCCTCCTGACTGCCCCAGACTCCCACAATCCTTTGAGAGACCAAAGCTCTCTGTGCTCTGAGTGAGAGATGTTTTCGGAGCTTTCTGGGAAAATCTAACGCGTTCCCTGTCCCGGTCCAGGACCATCACGGGGGCCCGGATCTCATCCCTGCCCGGGTCCATGTGCCAGCAGCTCCCCAGCCTGCAGCTGCTGTGAGTCCACACACAAACCAGTCCTGGACACCCTGAACGCATCGCCCTTGCCGGGATGCGTTCAGGGCCCCGTTGTGCTGACGGATAAATCTCTGTCTCCGCAGGGATCTCTCCTATAACCAGATCCAGAGCCTGCCCAGCTTCTCCGACTGCCAGAGCATCCAGAGGATGTGAGTCCGCTCTTTAGTTTCTATTTAAAGGGGACATAATATGCAAACCACGTTTTTAATCATGTGATTGTGTACATGTGGGACTGTGGAGGGCCTATCAGCTGGCAAAGTGTGGAAAAAAAAATGACTGGGTCATGTTTTTGTGGGCTGCCTCAGTCTGAATCCAGGAGATAAATCAGGAGGTTTCAGGAGTGGGTAGTTTCTGACGTCATTAGGTCTAGCTCATTATAATATTCCAGCCTTTCACCTGCATGTTGCCCCCCCCCTCAGTTTACTCCGCCTATCTGTGGCAGACGTCGTTAGCATGGTAGCGTTAGCATGGTAGCGTTAGCATGGTAGCGTTAGCATGTTAGCATGGTAGCGTTAGCATGGTAGCGTTAGCGTGCCTCCCTGAAGAAGTGGGTGGATGGCCTGTGTCTCATTTGCATTTAAAGAGACAGGCACTCCAAAGCGAGCGCTCTGAACGGGGCTGTTTTGGGTTAGGGTTAGGGTTAGGGTTAGGGTTAGGGTTAGGCAGGGGGACTGAACTGCTATTGGGCTTCATCCTTATGGGATTCTGACCAAAGCTTGTCACAGACATCACATTAGGACACCAGGAACTAGCTTAACTTGTTGAAATAGGGTAGAATATGACTCCTTTAATGAAGATCCACGGGTTAAGGAATTTATTGTCTGTTTTGGGCCGGCTCCAGCTATGTTCAGCCTGTAAGGCGTTACTGGATCAGCCAGTAAAAGGCAGACAGCTGGGATTCAGAGTGGAATTTGCTGAGGTGATGTAATGGAAATAAAAGGCTAATAAATGGCTGTGTGTCCCAGAGATCTGCACCACAACCTGATAGAGGAACTCCAGGAGAACACCTTCGTGGGCCTGATGTCACTACGCTCTCTGTAAGCACACACACACTCACACACACTAACACACACACACTCACACACACTCAGGAGATCCTGGGTGGAGATCTGAGGGCTTTTCCAGTGGAAGTCAAGTACGTCTGCAGGAAGCCAAGGATGGATATCCAACTCCCCCACATCCAAGTCGGCCATTTTGGTTACATCACCAATAGGAAGATCCCAGGCAAGAAAATGGTAATTGCTTCATGGCAATATAGACATTAATTTATAAATAGTGAAATTAATCTTGCAAACACTGAATTAAACTCTATCCATAATATTATGTTAAATTGTGGATG